CTTACAGCAGTTGTATAGGCCAGTGGGTTATAGGGGAGGGGATTAGGAATGTTGACCCTCTGATGTTACAGACTGGGAGTTGCCACACCACATCTTTCAGTTTTCATTGATGATGGCTATCAGCATAGACTCTTCCCAGGGGTCATCACATTCCTAGAGAACTCAAAAGAACAAAATTATCGTCTTATTGCAGCTGGGAGGGGCCATAAAATCTACAGAGCCTGCAAATTCCCCGGAGACAGACCCTTACTTATCTGGGCAGACTAAAGCAAAGATCCAAAGAGGCTGGTGAGTTAGGGTTATTCATAGTTCCAACATGGATTTCTTCTATAAGATGGCTTCCCTTATGCTAACTTTGTGTTGAGCTGGTATCAGGAGGACTTTGTCAATCATGGTAAAGATTTTGGTCTTTCTTCAGAGAGTATTAGGAAGTCATAAAAAAGATTGAAAGAGAAGGTAGTAGTACGTGATATGATCATATTTGAATTTTGAAAACTACTGTTTGGTTAAAATTTGGAAAATGGATTGGATAGGTAAGAATGAATGAGGAAAGAACAATTAGTAAGTAGTCCAGGAGAGAGATGATGGTAGCTTGTACTAGGATGTTGGTGATGGACAGATTGAGTAGATTTGAAAGCTATTTGTGAGGTAAAGGTGACAGATCATGGTGATAGATTAGATATGAACGGTAAGAAGAGGAAGATGTTAAAGATGATTCTTTATGGAAGCATCTTGTTTTCAGATAGTCTCTCAAATTTTTCTGAGAATACTACATTAATTTTACTCATTTTAAAATTTTCATCTGTTTCAGCATTAGCAGTTTCCTTGGGGTTAGTTCTGTGTTCAGCTTAGTTTCTCTTTTTCTGTTTGTTTTCTTTAGCGGTATTGGTGATTTTCAGTTGGACTGACCCATATTAGTAGATGGAATGAATTTCCCCAGTGTATGTGAAAATTATGCTTCTCCTGATAGCAAATGCAGAGGCTGATTATGAGAAGACAAGTATACTCAGTCAGGTGTGCTGCTCTACTGGTCACCCAGGTACTTAGATTCTCTGTGTAGGGACTCCATGGCCATTGTGAAACATGGAGCTTATTTGAGAGCATTGATCTGCTTTTGTTTCAGGCCCTGTTGTTAATATTTTCCCCCTATTTTTAATCTTGATTTTTGTTTCTGTTTTGCTTTATTTTTTCTATGTAAGTTTTAAATTTATGTGCAATCAAATCTATCAATATTTTCCTTAATACTGTCTGACTTTGTTTTTATTACAAGGTCTTTCTCACTGAAAGATTATAAATTACTCCAAATAGTTTTGACCTCTGTGGGACGTTTTTACATTTGAATTTTTATTTTATGTAAAAGTATGTGGTAATGATCTAACAAATATTTTTTTGAATGATATACCATTTTATTTCCAGCCACATTTGTTCAATATCTATCTTCTCGGTACTTACTTGAAAGGCTAGCTTTATCTTATATCAAATTTCTGGTTTTGGTCTTTTTCATTGATTTGTTTGATATTTCTATTTGTACTCTAGTAGCATACCATTTTAATTGTGGGTGCTCTATAAATAAGTGTAATATACCATAAAATCTAGGCAATTTTCCATCATTATTAATTTTTAAATTATTTAATGGATATTCTTGTAAAATTATTCTTTCACATGATCTTTATAATTATTTGGTCAAATTCTCCAATGAATTCTGAATATAGTTTTTAGTATCTCTTCTAGCCAAAGATCCACCTGTATTGAACTACTTCCAGTCTCTCTCTCTTTCCTTCTGATCTCATATCAGGTATTTGATAACTTTATGAGTGGCCACATGGTCTTCTTGGTAACTTTTGTTTGTCTGTCTTCCTTTGGTCACTCCCACTAAGGGTGGATGCTCTCATATCCATTTTTACTTTGCCAACAGTTGGCAGAGTTCTTGGACTATAATAGGGGGTCAGGAAATAAAAGCTGAATGGAGTGATGATTTTTCTCTCCATCCTTCTCTGAATTGAAGTTTCTGCAGCTGTATGTGGGAGTAATACTGCCCAAATTGTTTCACTAAAGGAAACAATAGAATAACGTGTTTAATGGTCCTAGCACAGGCCCTCACCAAACAGGCTTTGCTTTTTTTTGTCTCCCTCTTCTTTGGTGTGGCATCATCAGTGGTAAGAAAAAAAATGATTTTTAAGTCAGAAGTGTTTAGGATACGTTTTAAGAAATGCATTTTATCATTGTGCAAACATCATAGGTATACTTACAAAAACCTAGATGGTATAGCCTACTACACACTTAGGCTATATGAAACTAATCTTATGGGACCACTGTTGTATACATGGTCAGTCGTTGACCAAAACGTCCTTATGTGGTGCATGACTATAAACCATGAGATGAGCTGAAAACTCATTGGAGGCAGTGTTGGTCTCTTACTGCCTCCAATCATCCAATCCTCCAGCTTTGATGATGCAGGTGATCCACAAAATAAGCTGGTGCTCTTTGTCATAATATTATACTCCTGCCTGGCCCAAGAGTCAGAGAAGATGAAGGAGGAGATCTGGGTGGGAGCTGAAGGAGTTGTCAGCTGAACCACTGCCCCACATCTACAAGGTGAGTCAGTGAAAAAATCTGAGCTGCAATAGTGCCCCTTATCAGCTTTCTCCATGTAAAAAGAATGCAGCTACCACTTTACCTCTGTCTTCCAAATCCCACACAAAACATCTCTTGTGGTCTAAACTAACCTTGAATTATACAGGGAAGGAAATTCTAGGAAAGGTAGTTTCAGCTTAGCCAAGTGGACACAGGACACATCCACTAAAAGTCTCCAGTTCCAGACCCATATAACTCGGTGACCACATAATTTGCTTTTAAAATGGGGGCGCAGGGCCGGCCCCGTGGCTTGGTGGTTAAGTGCGTGCACTCCGCTGCTGGCGGCCCAGGTTCGGATCCCTGGGGCACACCCACGCACCGCTTCTCCGGCCATGCTGAGGCTGCGTCCCACATACAGCAACCAGAAGGATGTGCAACTATGACATACAACTATCTACTGGGGCTTTGGGGGAAAAAAAGGAGGAAAAGGAGGAGGATTGGCAATAGATGTTAGCTCAGAGCCGGTCTTCCTCAGCAAAAAAAGGAGGATTAGCATGGATGTTAGCTCAGGGCTGATCTTCCTCACAAAAAAAAAAATAAACAAAGGAAGAAGGAACTTGAGAGAGGCAGTATAACATCATAATAATTTACATTTCTAGACTACTTACTCTGTGTATGACACTCTCCTAAATGCTTTATATATAGCGATTCATTTATTTTTCCCAACAACAGCTGAGAAATGTACTGTTTTACAGGTAGAGCACCTGAGCACAGAGTGGTTAAGTTAAATGCCCAAGGTGTCACAGGCACCACTACTACAAAGATAGCAGTATTAGTAATTATCATGACAGTATCAGGTGTATTACGCACACTTTCCTTCACTGCCTTATCTACTCATGCACCACAGCACTACTGTAAAGTGTTGACTGGCTTTTTCAGACCTTACTGCAGGGTTAGAATGATTAAAGAGAATTACAATTTTGAGGGAAGGGGAAAAATAAAAATTGTATGTTTCATATGTCTTTACCATGGTCCAAAGGAAGAGCATGCCAAAACTTAAAGGGGTCAATTTTTAGACACACCCTGACTTAGCTCAGGCTGCCATAACAAAATACAATGGACTAGGTGTCTTAGACAAGAGAAATTTATTTCTCAGAGTTCTGGAGCATCTAAGATCCAGGTGCTGACTGATTCAGTTCCTAGTGAGGGTTCTCTTCCTGGCTTGCAGATGGCCACCTTCTTGCTGTGGGCTCACATGGCCTTTCCTTGGTTCATGTGCATGGAGAGAGAGAGAGATCTCTCTGGTGTCTCTTCTTATAAGAGCACTAATCTGATCATGAGGGCCCTGCCCTCCTGAACTCATCTCTACCTAATGATCTTCCAAGGCCCCCTCTCTAAATCACACTGGGAGTTAGGGCTTCAACATATGAATTTTGGGGGGACACATTTATTCCATAACACATCCAATTCCCTAGACTTTCTCATATTTATATCTTTGAGAGAGAGAGAGACCTACTTCAAAACTTCTCAGTGCAGATTTCCACCTTTATTTAAGTAACTCCAATTTTGTTCATGTGATTTGATCTTGTCTTTGAATCCATCACCTCTTAGCCCCATCCCTACAGACCCTGTGACTCCGTTTTGCCACTGCACTTGGGATCTCTTACTTAACTGACTCTGGAAATCTCCTATATCTATTGATGTGGTGACCCCAATTCCTGTGTTTCTGTTTCCTACTTTCAGTAACTCTGAGATACCCATTCAACTGACCATGTGAACTGTACCTCTACTGACCTTACAACTCTGGCCAACTCTAATCCTGTGACCTACACCTGAGCCCAAGGTCTCCCACTCCTTTTTTTTTTTTTTTTTTTTGTGAGGAAGATCAGCCCTGTGCTAACATCTGCCAATCCTCCTCTTTTTTTGCTGAGGAAGACTGGCCCTGGGCTAACATCTGTGCCCATTTTCCTCCACTTTATATGAGATGCCGCCACAGCATGGCTTGCCAAGTGGTGTGTGGGTGCGCACCCGGGATCCGAACTGGGGAACCCCGGGCTGCCGCAGCGGAGTGTGCGCACTTAACCGCTTGTGCCACCCGGCTGGCCCTGCAAGGTCTCCCACTCTTGATCATCATGTGATTTTCATCCCTACTGATTCCATTCCCCCTACTCCACTGTTCCTGAGGTCTCCTCCCTCAGTGACCCCAACCCACTGACAGCACAATCAATCCCCTTCATCCTGACCCCACCTTGATGGCAGTATTACTCTTTCCACTACTATCACAGAAAACCCCATCCCTACATAGTCATCTTCTTTCTATTCCAATTTACTCCCTCCTAGTTTTTTTTGGATCTCTTGGGCACAGCCTCTGAATGTCATTTAGTAATCAGACTGCTTAAATGACAGGAATTTATCAAAGATTTTAATTTATTTACAACAATTTTGGCTTGAAAATCAAAGTTAATATATGATATATGATATTTCTTAGTTAAAGGCCATTATGGATTCATTAAACAAATAGAAAAAGCACTCAGCAAATGTTAAGTGAACACTGCAGTTTTCAAGGATGCAATGATGTCAGAGGCGGGCACCATGCTATGCAGGGGTTCTGTTTCCATTTCAGCTTCATCATGTTAGGAGGTCCTTCCAACTCTTATTGAGAGTATTTTCCAGAGAACAAAAGGAAAACCATACTGTTCAAGAATACCTGTTTCCTTCATAACTTTTCTGTTTCAGGATTTCTTCTGGAGACATGGTCATTTGACCTGAAACTCAGAGTGTGCTTGAAGCCCTTTGAGGAGACAAGAACAGCAGAGTCAGCACTCCTGTCTCTGAAGATGCAAATTCTTGGGCTACTGTTCCCTGGACTGTCTGTTTTCTCTGGCTATGGAGGGGTAGAGAGTGTGTCTATAAATGGAAGACCATGGATGCCCTTATGTCTCAAATGAGGAAATTTTCTTCTTTGTATCAGAATTACTTTAGATCATCAGCTTTGAGAACCTAGCATAAGTCATTGTTTCAGAAGGTGTAGGATTGCAGAACACTGATTTCTTTCCCCTCTGAGGTCCTTGGTTGGCTTCAGAGTGTCCTTATATTTATTCGGATCATGTAGGGTCATCCTATAGTTCTGTTGTGGCAGGGGAGGAAAAAAGGGGCACAACATTTGGATTGACTTATGGAATGGACTCTTTCGGCTCAATAAGACACCAATATGCTGGTTTTAGTGAGAAAATAGTGCATATATTTATTAGGAAGACAATATGCTATATATATACAGATACAGTACAGCATAAGCATAAGCAAATAATAATTCAATAACAATGGAAAGAAATAGGGGGGAGAGAGAGAGAGAGAAAACATCAGATTGGTACTCATAACATTCACACCCTTATGCCACAGAGAGTCCCTCTGACTGACATGGCTAGGCGGGAGTGCCGATCGAAAAAGGAAAACATCAGATTGATGGGAAAAGGGAAACATCAGATGGATTGAAAGGGGAAAACATCAGACCGATACTTACAACATCCGCGCCTTTACGCCGGGGACAGTCCCTTTAACTGACATGGCTAGGCGGGAGTGCCCATCGAAAGTGGTCCTGGGCAAGGCGTCCCTCCACAGGCGAGACTCTCGCCCAAGCAGAATTGTGAGTTGCTTTTATGCATGTTTCTATCTAGAGACCATGTTTATGGGAACATTTGGTGTTTTTCCTTCTTGCTGTTATTGCGTGTGTACGTGCACTGTGACTCCTGGTACTTATCTCCGACGGACACAGATGGCCGGTCTGAGCCTGTCCTTGACATCCCAGGAGTCTTGTAACCTAGATAATTGCAGCTAGTATTGTGGGAGAAGGCTTGGTTCCCACCACAAGCAACTGCTCTGCATTCTTTCAGGGTGGCTGGTTTCCCAGGGTCACCAAGCGGACAAACGTGGCATACCTATGTTGTCAGGCTCAAATAGTATGAAAAGTTACAAGGGTGCCTGATTTGGAGATAAGTATTTCCTTACATCTTAATACATAAAAAAGAATCTCTTATCAAAATATCAGAACCTAAAAACTGTATACTTTTTGGTATTTTATTCTTGGAGGAAGAGTTTTTAAAATCATTAATGGCTTAATCAAATTTGACCTTGTCCACAGCCTTGATTAAATGGCCCTTTTTACCTGGTGACAAATCTTGTTCCAAAAGCCACTCCTTTTCTGACTTATACGTAGCACTAGGCTTTCAATACATAAGATCTTGTGAATCCCTTTTTTTTTAAACCTGCGCGGGGCACTGCCAAGATGCCAGGGAAGAAGAGAGTGAAGGTTCCATGAGAAAAACAGTTGTTTGATTTGTGTTTTCCATATTTGCTTGATAATGTTTCTTGAACTGATGCAGGCTCTATCCTGGCCAAGACTCTCTTTTATTGTTTTCTGGAACAGAATATGCCAAAATATCACTATGCTTGGGAATCATGAACTTTCCATGAATGTTTTTCCACTCAAGGGTTAGTAACTTTTCCTTACAATTTCAGAGAGTGAAAAAATACACTTAAAAAAAGAAAGGCAATTTGTAGCTTCCAGCCAAGAACTGAATATGGGTTGAAATATCCATATAGTTATTCTATAGAACTTTGTAGCAGTCTGCAAGGGTTTTCATTTTCCTCTACAAAAATGACTTTCTCTGAGACTTTATACAGCATTATGTATTTTAAAATAAAAAACAACCTTCTGAATAATAGTTTAAAATACGAAGTGATTATTTTAAGTGGATTCTATTTGATTTTATTGTATGTTCATATATTTTAGTAATTTGTTTTTAAACCAGAAGCAATAGAGGCAAGAAAAATGAAGTCCTTTCACAGGGAATCTTCGTCCTGAAATGTTAATTGCTTTATTTTTAGATGTGTCATTTGAAAAATGGAAATAATGAGGATTCTCATTGTGAGGAGCAGGTATTTTAGAATTGTCCAGATGCTATGATTTTTTGTTCAGATACTGGGGCTCTTTTGTGGTCATTACATATTGCTTTTCAAATAATGAAGCACGTTCTGTTTTGTGATTTTGGTCCATGCATCGGGGATTTCACCTTTATCTGTAAATTTTCTCTGATATTTTTCTTCTAGCTCTGATCTGAAGTGACAGACAAACCATTTCCAGTATGGCTGGGTGGATGAGTCTGGGCTGATGCTCCATGTGGCATACTGCCCTCCTGCCTGTCGATAGTTCTTATATGGGAATCTCTGGTCACCTCCCAAATCAAGAAGACAATCACTTGCTACTAGACTAGTACAGCACTCAATGGAAAAGTGGTCTGTGTTATACCATCCTCCTCCATTGACAGCCCGAGGACGGTGGAAGGGAACGCTGTGGTCTCCGTCATGTTTAGGGAATGTGTTTGTACAAATAGCTTTACAAAAGGGACACTGTTTCCAGCAGCCACAGAGATGTTCAGAGAGCATTTTCTCGATTTCAGAAGGCATTTTTTTTACAGACATGCTCAAATAGTTCTGTTCTGCTCTCTTCATTGCAGGATCCAAAGCTTCACTCATGGCTTCTTTGAGAAACTCAATATCTTTAATCTCCTGGTGTTCAATGCTCATCAAGTCTTTTCGTGGAAAGATCAAGTTACTCCCCAGGTGATCACAGAACAAATCCAACCACTTAGACACGGTACTGCTTTTATCTTTAGCTATTGCTGTGGATTCATGAATAGCCGAGAGGATGATATTCTTGATGTCTCCTAAACTTATTTTTAAAAAAGTCTTCATTTTTTCACTTCTTTTGTCTGAACAATATCTTTCAATATGGTTTTGAATGTAATTACTAAAAAATGATTCTGGATTATGAATGTATTGACAGTAATTATCAAAATTTTCTTCTTCTATGAGAGAGATGAGAATATGTTTCTCCAGGTTAGTCCTGTTTCCATTGAATGTGGGGCAGGTAGCTCGTATGTCCCCAGCAATCTTAGATGCCATTTTTTCCCGTATGGTGGTGGAAACCGCAGGAGTGAGTTTTTGCCACAGAAAATCAACAAATGTTTTGATTGAAGTTGCTCCTTGACAAGAGATCTTAAAACTCATGAAGAAATCATCTTTTTTGCTTTCCAGATAGTTTACAGGATCATTTGCTCTCTTGAATGCCATGTGCATCTCCTTAAATTTTTCTGATGCTCTTTGGAATAAACACAAAGATAAGTCAATTTTATATTTACTTGTAAATGTGTATCTTTCCCCAGTGGGTGCAGATTTCACCTCCTCATCTATTATTCTCAGAATTTCATGGAAATAACTGGGGTTGTAATCACACCATTGCCTCCTAATGTTATTAATTTTTTCATCAAATTTTGACATAATGCGGTCAGTAGTCATATTTATGGACTCTTTCTCACAGATTTCTAAATCCCTTTTAAATAAGTGAAATGTCTTAGTAATTTTTACATGTTTGTCATAGTTGATTTGAAACTTGTCTCCAGAATATTCCTTCAGTATGTCCGCCATGTTTTTCTCCTGTTTGAAATAATTCAAAAGGATGTCTTCAGAATCCACATCAACTTTAGGCTCTGTGATTGGAGGGAGAGTTGAGGACACGGCACTGACCCATGTTTTCCAAAGTTGATCGAATTTCTCATGTAGCTCTTCCTCACTCAGTTCTTTGCCCTTCACAGTTAAAGCTAACTTTCGGCTTTTTTCCAATAATTCCTTTTCATAAGCTGACTTTTGGTTATCCAGTTTTTCATGACTTTTCTTAAAACTAATGAGTTCATTGGCTTTTCTTTGGCTGTCTGAAATAAGTGCCTCTTTAAGGATTATCAGCTTATTTTCAAAATTTGCTTTCCACTGAACCAGTATTTCACTATCTGGATCTTCATTAAAATATTTCTCCAATTCTTGCTTGATGGCTTCATATTTTTCTGTAACTGGAGCTTCAAATGTGCTTGTTCTGAATGTCTGGATTTTTCCATTCTGAATCTGATTGATCAGCTTGTTCTGCAAGCCCAGCACATGACTCCTCAGCTCCCAGGTCCATGTGTTATACATTGTTTCCAATTTGCTCATGGCCATGACCTCTCGGGTGTTCCTGAAACTGAAAATAAAGTTCTCATTCAACAGGGCTCTCCACAAGTCTTGAACTCGGAATTTCACATCTGATATCTTCATGATCCTTCCCCTAGATTCTTCTTTGGCAATCTCAAGAATTCTACTTTTCAGTTCCTGGACATTGTGGCTGTAGCGAGGATTGGGAGGGGCCATTGGGGGATTGCCATCCCAGAGGTGAGCAAAGTAGTAGACGTGAGTATTGGCATCAAACTTGATGACATCACTAAAGTGGGTTACATCTGAGCACTGTTCTTGTTCAGCCGCTGTTGCAGTCATTTCATCTAGTTTCTGCTCTAGCCGCCTTCGTCCTTCCATAGTTTGGTCTTTAGCTGTAACTTCCCCCACATTCTGATGGATAAAGAGGCAACTTGGGGAGATTTTTACTTGTTTCATCCTCAGAAAGGCTTGGACAGCTATTTGTAGAATATCTTGCGTTTCTGATGGATTTTCCCCAAAAATATTGATCAGAGTCAAGTTTCCAAGTCCAATGACAAAGGATGCCAACTCATTGTCATGATTCTGGGATTTGTTGCTGAGTTCTGGGGCCCGAAGTCCTTCTGTGTCCAGAATAAGCATAAAGTCAAAGCCAAGTTCCTCTGTGAATGTCTCTTCTACCTTCAGGAGCTGCATGTAGGTCCCCCGGGTGCACCTCCCAGCACTGACGGTGAACTGCAGCCCAAAAAGGGCATTCAGCAGGGTGGACTTCCCTGAGCTCTGCAGGCCAAGGACAGAGAGAACAAACAGCTGTTTCTCTCCGAGTTTCTCAGCGACCTTGTCAAAAACAGCGGCCACCCACTTTAGAGGCACATAGGAAGCATCCCCATCCATGAGCTCAATGGGAACACCAGATATCATCAGCTCTGCAGCAATCTCAGGAAGGGAGAGAAAAAGGATATCTTTGGTGGAGGAAGCTTCTTCTATAGCTTCATAGATCTGGCCAACTTCTCTGAGAAGTTGCTCACTTCCCAAGGTACACTGACTAATTTCTGCAGAGGTAGCTTCTATCTCCTTTTGCCAGTCTCTCAGGTTTTTGCTCCTGGGTGCCTTTTGCTTTTCTGTTTGTACCTGTTTGTAATAAGACTTTTTCTTTTCATTCAGCTTTTCCAAGTGTCCTGCAGTCAGGTTGTCCAAAAACACACTCAGCCATTGCAAGAAGTAGAGTTTGGTGTGAGTTTCTGAATGTTGTCTGAGAATTTCGAGGACAGGTTGCATTAAGTCATTGAGAGGAAAAGCTCTGGTCAGCTGTTGATGCCGTATTCTTTGTTTATCTGTCTCAATCTCATTCTTGTGTTGTTCAATGCTCCGATTCCCCTTTTCTCTCAGATGGTAGAGTTCTTTGTCCTTTTTACACCAAAGGTGCCACAGTTCTCCTTGAAGAGGTAGTAAGTTTTCCTTCATCTGAGATATCTTCATTTCTCTCAGTCGGTGCATTAGAATCTCTGCCTTTTCTTTGGCTTCCCTGCAATCTCTCTGGTCTTCATCAATAAGGAATCTTTGCTTGCAAGCAATCCGGGCGCAGTCCTCTAAGCTGAGAGCAGTGCCAGAGAGCTCTAGCAAATGTCTGATTGTTCTTGTGAGCTCCTCTGTTAATTCTGCCTCATTTCTATTCCTGATCCCAATTCTCACTCTTTGGCCAGAATTACTGGCCATGGTTTTTTCTTTGTCATCAAGCAAACAGATCAAAGGTTTCGATGACTGACACAGGTCATGGACAACTTTTCGGTTTTCTTTATTGTCATTGGAAGCTGACATGAGGACCACAATGACAGAAGAGACCTCCTGCAGGAAGGTGAGTTGCTTCTCATGTTCCTTTGCATCTCCATGAAGATTGGTGAAGGCCAAGCACGTATCAAATCTGTCCTCATCCTCCCCTGCAGGACAGAACCAGCAGACTTCCACCACACCCTCCATCAAGAGACAGTCTTTGCTGCTCTCTCTGCAATGTCGGTGAAAAAAGACATCATGTTTACGTTTACTGAGAAGATGGCTCATGATCTGAGATTTGGAAGCAGAGAAACCATTTCCAACTCTAATAAAGGACACAAAGGGGGTAGAGATACAACACATCTGCTGATTGTTGTAATTGTTCTTTTCTTTTGGTGATTTCCTTGTCTGCCTCCAGCTTCTTCTAATTTGACTGAGAGACCAGAGAGAGAATTCAATTTGAGAATTGCAGGGATTCGGTATGAGAAGGGGGAGGGCAAACTGACAGATGGAAAGTTTGGTCAAAATATATTGCCTGGCAAAAGCATCTGCACAGTGAAGAATTGCCATCTGAATGTCCATGGGGTGAATACGGGGCCTGGATTTCATGGCTGAAGGATTAGTGGGACTATCACTGTCTTCAAAAAAGTCTTCATATGGATCAAAAGTCTCATCTTCCTGATTTGAGGCTCTTGGATAGACTTGATTCTCTTTGTTTCCATCATCTTTAAAGACCAGGTATCTCAGCCCATAATCCAGCATCAGTAGCTTCTGCAGGAAATAGAAAGGAAGCTCACATTCAGAGCTAGGCTGGGTGTTGTACACAGAAGTCTTGTAGATCAGATGGAAGTCAGCTTTGCTCATCCTTTTTGGGTAGTAATGTTCTAGGCCTAGACGCTGGAGTAATTCTAGGAAGACCCCATTTTCTATGACCTCTGATTTGTTATTTTCATTATCATGTGGTTCATGGGGCTGTTTTGTTTCATGGAGGAGACTTGGCAATTGTTTTATCACCTCATCCATTTGGATTGAAGAGACAAAGCCTTCATAATTCCCATCAATGAGCAACCTCAAGTTTTCCTCTAGGTTTTCCCAACCATGATCTCCTTCAAATTTGGTGAGGACATGTACAACTTCTTTAGACAAAGATTGTCCCATGTGTTGTCTTATGAATGCCAAGCGTTGTGTTTTGTGCTCTGGAGAAACAGCTGTGTCTCCAACGGTAGCTGTCAGACCTGTGAGCACCAGGAATGCTTGAGCCCTGTAGCTGCAAATATTTTTGAGCTCCTGGTATTTATCTTGGGCAGTTTGCATTTCATCCAGTAGGTAGTCTAACTCATCACAGCCCAGGAGATACTGAAAAGTATTGTTTAGAACATGATATCCTGCCCCAGCAGCAATGGAAAGTAGCAAGAGCTGTGTGTCTGACTGCTCTGTTACTTGGAGGTAATTCAAGAAGCAGCCAAGAGACAAGCTGACCTCATAAGTGGCCTTCCTTTGAGCTTCCTCCACTATTTCTGAGGACTTGTATTTGGCCTTCACTGCCATGAGGTCATTCTGGGTTTCTTCTAAGATTTTAGTTAATTCAGAAAATTGGGAGTTGTTGATGTGCTCCTGGTCAGACTCTGATTGGAAGATCCACTGCATGATGGAATGAGCCTGAGGAAAGTTTGTCACGCTGTAGATGTGAGGATCCAGAAGGCTGCGCAACTGAGATTTGATAAAAGTAGTTTCATAAATTGAAGACTTTTTGCAAAAGTTGACAGTGTTTACCAGAAAATTCTGCAGACCGCAATCTGTGAGGCATATGTTAATCCAAGTGTCATGAGTTTTTATTTTTTGACTCAACATTTGCATGAAATTTATCAGTTTTGTAAGCTGCTCTTCAGGATTGGATACCTCCCAGGATTTCACATCCTCTAGGAAAACCCTAGCCTCCTTCTCAACCCTCTGTAAGTCTTCTCCATCCTGGATGTGGGCTCTGAGACCAGTCAGAGCAGTGTAGCTTTCTTTCAGGCAGTTAGCTACCTGAAGAGGATCCTTAAAGTCACTTATGTGGCTGGAGATGATGATGTCCCAAACGGGCACCAGTTGAAGTCCCCGGTCAATGACACACCAGGTTTGATTACAGGCAACTAGGCCAGCTTTCCACTGCAAAAAGCCATTTGATTCTGGTGGGCCACCTGTCTGGGCCACAGATAATTGGACTTTGGTTGGGAGATTTTTGAAAGTTGTGCTCTGAGAAGCTGCTTCTGAATGAGAGCCTAATATGTCCACATCTGCAGCAAATTTCACTCCAAAGCCACTGTAGGTGCCCTTTATGTAAATATCCAGGGCCTCTGCTGACTGCTGCTTCACTTCTGCCATCTGCTCATTTTGGAAACCCTGTGAAATGGCTTTCCACCAGTAGATTCCTCCCAGGTGCAGAGGGCCCTGGTTAGCATGAGAGCCAAACCTGTGGAAGAAGGCTTCAGTCTTGCACCTCAGCAAGGAGAGTCTGTCTGGACCTGCAGGCTGATCCAGAAGGTCTTCAATGCATTTCAGTTCCTGGAGAGCAGACTTGGAGATCTGGAGTTGATCAATGGGAAAGTGGCAGGAGGCCAGTGGGACATAGCTGAACTTGACTGAGCAGAAATAAGAGATCTCAGAATGTGATTGTTGAGTTTCCATGGATGTTGAATGTTCACTGTGGTCCATACCAGCTTCCAGGCTAAATCCCCAACCTCTGCCCTTGGCTGAGGTAGTTGCACTCAAGCCCAG